ATTAAAATCTAACTCTAGCAAGAATTTCAAGCTGTACTTGTGGCTTTAAGTACAGGTACAGATCAGCGTTTCTCAAAATAGTCACAGGGCTATCTACTCTTTGCACAATATTTTAGTGATAAAAGCTCTTGCCTGAAACATAAGCAGTCAGAAGAGGGTCCAGACAAGTTACAAACACACCAGCCTATAGACAGGTTTGGAGTGGTCCCTCCTGTTGAACACATCACTTTGCAGCACAAGATGCAAGATCTCACAAGAGTAAGAGCCATCTCAGATGAGGAGGACATGTAGGGAAAGAAGGGCAGAAAGCAAGCTCAGCTTTAATCCTAGCTCCTGAAGTTGCAGAGGCACGCCATCATGTAAAACACAAGTAATTCTTGGAGAGATCAAACTCAAGGCAAAGCCTCTTCACTATCTGAACGAGTGATATGCGCTACTCTTATTTGTTGTGCCGGACTGTGCTTCAAACTTACTCAAATTTGTTTATCTTACATCAGACTCTTTAAAGGGCAAAGACTTGAGTATGGCATTAAGACTGGCTAATTGGCAAACCCCAAATTACCTTCAGCAAGTGCTGATCAGCCCGTTAGGCACAACAGCAACTTTTCTATGCAGCAGAAGGAATTTAAGGGTCTGAGTATACCAACATGAAAACTGGTGTCTAATTAGGTCGAGAAGAGTAGCTTTACAAACTGTTCCGGTGGGCATGTAAATTTAAGTTCCTCCTAAAAAGAAACATGCCTGAATTCCTTTGTAAATCTAGGCCTTACAGGCAAATGGGTGAGAAATTAATTAGTTTGCGGGACCAGGAGAGTTTTTAAAGAGCTTGTTATGACAAGACTATTCAAGCTAACATGTTATGTATGCCTGAACAATACCTCTTTAGTCCAGCAGCCAAAAAAATCTTCCCTTCCTTAGTAAGTTGAACTGGCAGAATGATCTATACTAAGTGATCTAACAGCCTAAACATAGCAGCAATACAAAGCTAATCTCCCTCATCTACAAAATAACTTCCCAGTTAATAGAGTATGTAAGGGCTGCCCCATAGGGCAGTAAAGCAGGAACAATCTTCATTTATCACGCAAGTGTTCAAACTAATGAATTAGAACAAAAAGCACTTGCAACCAGGATCCTTAAACTACATGCAATGAAATGGACCTTACTTAAGAGTGCAAAACTAGGTTTTAAGCTGCTGGAGACATATATGGGCAGATTTCTGAAACTGTCCATTGCTACCAATAAACATGAATAGGATGGGTTTAGCTTCAGTCAGGAATAAACATGAGGATAACAGCCCAAACCTGAGAAAGCAGGAATGA